TCAGTTGTAGGTTGGATTCATGTCAAGTCTGCTCATTAACAGCTATTGAGGTCGAGGAGACAGTAACGAGTGGCTGAACCTGAATACTGTGAACGTGACCTCACCTATTGCTGTTTTCACTCCCCCCCCTGTGTGTGGGGGTGTTTGGCGGTGGGGGGTAGGGGTGAGGGTGGGGGAGTGTGTTTGGGGCTGTGGGAGTGAGAAATTTGAGCCCTTCCTTTCCCATCTACAGCCCTCTCCCCATTCCTCCTTCCACCTCCCTCTTCCCCCTGTCCCTCCTCCTTCCTCCCTCCTTCCTCTTCTTCCCTCCCCCTCCTTCCCTCCACCCCTCCTTCCTCATGCAGTAAACCCTTCAGACTTTACTGCAAAAAACATACATTTTTAACTGGCTAAAATATTATACCGAAAAATTTTGAAAAATTAAGATCGTCGAAGAAAAGTCTGTATATTGTTGTTGTACATTTGGTTATTGTTTATTCCTTTACCCCTCACTCTCTCCCTCATTATCTCCCTCCTCAATCACCAACCATTACACTATCTCTCTATCGTCACCACAACTTCATCATCTAATATTAGTCATTGAGATAATAACTCACTTAAGTGGGGGTATAAGAATTAATTAGCCCCAGCTGTCTTGTGCCTCTATCTGTCTGTATCTGTGTCTGTGTCTGTATCTGTGTCTGTATCTGCCTGTGTCTGTGTCTGCATCTGTGTCTGTATCTGCCTGTGTCTGTCTGTATCTGTGTCTGTATCTGCCTGTGTCTGTCTGTATTCTGTGTTCGTATATCTCTGTCTTTGGGAGTCTGTGATGCTAGAGAGAGAGAGAGAGAGAGAGAGAGAGAGTCGACCATTATAGAGATACACTGGATGTTATTATTATTACTGATGCTTCGATCATTGTTCTAAGCTACCCTGTGGGGGTGATGAGAGATGAGTGGAGGGAGGGGTAGGAAGGAAGGGTTAGATGAGGGATGGAGGAATGGAGGAAGAAAGAGGGATGAGAGGGAGGGTAGAGTAAATTGGTGGGAGGAGAATGAGGGAATGGGGAGGAGGTAAATTGATGGTGGGGAGGAGGGAAGAAAGAGAGAGGAGGAGGTAGATTAGAGATAATGGGAAGGAGGAATGGTGAGAGGGAGAAGGAGGGAAAATAATGATGTAGGTGGGATGGTGGTTGTGGAAAGGATGGTGGTAGTAGTGTTTGTGAGGTGGTTGAGGTGTTGGGGTTTGAGAGAGAGAGAGAGAGGGGGGGGGGGGGGGGGGAGAGGAGGGAGAGAGAGAGAGAGAGAGAGAGAGAGAGAGAGAGAGAGAGAGAGAGAGAGCACCCAAATACACACACAAACATACACCTATACACCTCCCCACCACCTACACTCCCCACCCCCCCCCCCACTCCCCCCCCCCACCCCCCACTCCCTCACCTCCACCCTCACCCTCCCCTCACCTCCACTCCCCCACCCTCACCTCCACTCCTCACCTCCACTCCCCACCTACACCCTCAGTGAGTGTATCCGCCCACCACATCGAGATAATGATACTTAAGTCCATGGGTGAAGTTCTTACTTGTATTGTATAAGGCAGAGGCTCACTTCATCTCTCTCGGAGGCCCTCTTTCTCCTCCTCCTCTTCTTATTAACCTCCTCCTCCTCCTCCTCCTCCTCCTCCTCCTCCTCCCTGCCACTACCACACACTACCACACACACACACACACACACACACACACCATAATGTGAGTTTGATATAAGTTTGGAGGAGAAAATACCTGTGTGTGTACCTGAGGTTATCTGCCAGGTGAGCTTACCTTCATGACACTGATATTCTCTCGGATAAGGAACTAATCGTATTCTCTCCTCTCCCCTCATTGTCTCTCTCTCCCCTCCCTTCTTTCTTCCTCCTTCTCCTTTCTTTCCTCCTACTTCCTCGCACCCCCCCCTCCTACCGCTTCTTTCTTCTTCCTTGTCCTTCCCTCCCATTCCTCCTCTTCCTTGCTCCTTCCTTTCAATCCTTCCATTACCGCTTCTTTTCTTCCCCCTTCCTCTTCTTCTCTCCTCCCTCCTCCTTCATCATACACTCCTATGAATGAACTTGAATGACCTTAATGTTTCATCAGTTCCATCTCTCACCACAACACCTGAGAAATGATTCACTTTCTCCACCAATCACCTCCTTTAATGATTCATCTCCACCAATCATCTCCTTCTAATGATTCATCTCCACCAATCATCTCCTCCCTTAATGATTTACCTCCACCAATCATGTTCCACGATATGATTGTAATCTCTCTTCCTCATCACCCACTCAACCAATCACCTGTCGGAGGAGGAGGAGGAGGAGGAGGAGGAGGAGGAGGAGGAGGAGGAGGACTAGGAGAGGGAGGAGGAGGAAGAGGAGGAAGAGGAAGAAGTGACCTCATTTATTTAGTAATTTCTTAAAGGCTCAATCTTGTAGGTATTGTCTATTCGTCATCACTAAATCTTACCCTAATCTGGACTTCATTTTCCTCGGGTCGTCAGTGGCTACGGAATGTCAAATCACCAGATAGTTTCTGTTCATTCTCTTCCTATCGTATGTTTCTATTAATCCTCTTAATGTATGTTGCTGTATCAATGTCATTTATTTTCGTTGGCTTTCGTTCTGTTTTTGTTTTTATTTTTATATGTTGTTGTTTTTGGTGTTGTTTTTGTTTTGGAGACGAAGGTACGAAAAGTGGGAGTAAAGGAGATTTTTGAGGAGGAGGAGGGAAGGTTGGCTCCTTCACTTTGGAGTCAGCTGATCAGGCTTGGTTACACACACCCACCACAACACTGATATATGACGTACACACACACACACACACAAACACACATACACACACACACACACACAAAACCATATAAATTCTAATCTTTCTTATTTCTCCATTCTTATTTATTAGTCTCCACCTCCTCTTTATCATGAACGCACGGATGCTGGAAACACTATTAAATTTAATGGAAATTAATCTAGTCTTGAACGCGAGGAAATGGATCTCCCAGCTATTGGTCGAGAGTCTTTTAGCTGATGACGTCACACACCAGATGTAAACACGTGTATTATAGAGACTCCACGTTTGTTTACTTCTGTTATTGTAAACATTTATGAGTACAAATGTTGACTTGCCTTTAAACAACAAACAACAAACACAGCAACAAAACAACAACAACAAAAATAATAAAAGAACACCTCAACTTAAGACACTACACACACTTAACATACAATAAGGGACTTACTTTTACAGACTAATATCCTTAACTTCACTACACACTACAGCAGCTACTTTACACTACTTTCAGCCACTTACTACACACTACAGCAGCTACTTTACACTACTACAGCCACTTTACACTACACGCCAGCAGCTACTTTTACACTACTTTCCAGCCACTTACACTACACACGCTATTTACATTGGCAGAAGTGTGTCACCTTATTCTAATATGTGGTGGTGCCTGACCCGCCATACTCATCCTGGCCATCAGCACATTTCATAGACCTCATAGATGACAGATTCTGTATTATCCTGAGGGGGGGGGGTAAGGAGGTATAACCCACGTGTATGAGGGTATCTGGGTGAGGGAGGTAAGAAGTCAAATTCCACGTGTATGAGGTTGGTTTAAGGGTTTATTAAATTTGAGTAGACTGGTATTTCTCTCTCTCCATCACAAGTATCGTATCTCAGACCGATCATGAAAGCATTTTTACTCATAAGTAACTATGGTATAATCAAACTCACGAACGTACACACTATAAAGTAAACATACAGACAGACAGACAGACAGACAGAGACAGACAGAGACAGACAGAGACAGACACAGACATTAGTTTTCACACACACACACATGAGGTGATGAGGGGAGGGGTACATATTTGGTGTGGCGTTAATACAGTCAATCTGGACCGACTTGAGGCAATAAAAATTACAGAAAATAAGATGAGTATTGAGGTGACTTCTTCTATATCTTATAGTGAGTTATATATGATGAGGGGTGAGGGGTGAGGGGTGAGGGGAGGAGGGGTGGGGGTTTATTTTTAGTTATTATTATTATTATTATTATATATTATTATTATTATTATTATTATTATTATTATTTTATTATTATTATTATTATTATTATTATATTATTATATATTTATTATTATTATTATTATTATTATTATTATTATTAAGGGCTAGAGGATGATGATTAGGGAGGAGAGGGGAGAAGAGGAAGAGAGGGAGATGGGACGAGAGAGGAGGAAGGAGAGGAAAGAGGAGGGTAAATGAAAGAAAGAAGGAAGGAGAGGAGGAGGAGGAGGATGATGGGGAAGAGAAGGAAGGACGAGGATAGGGAAAAGAAGTAGTAGTGGAGGTGAAGGAAGGAGGAAGAGGAAACAGTAACAGTGGGAGAGTGTAAATGAGAGGAAGGAGGAGGGGAGAGGGCGGAGAAGGGGAGAGAGAGAGGTTGCAGAGAAACCCTTATCTTAACAGTACACCTGGAGTGAAGGTGCTCGGGATGGGGGGGAGGCAGGATAGGACCATGTATATTTTGTCATGTCTCTTAAAAATTTTAGCAGAAGAAAATAGACACACACACACACAGACACACACACACACACACACACACACACACACACACACACACAATATTAAAATCAATAGAATAGATGAAACGTCACGAGCAGAGTAAGTGAAACGGGTTAGGTGACCGTAGACTTTACAGCGAAGGTCGGGTGCTGCAGGTGGCGACTGTGGGATGCTGGCGACAACACACACACACACACACACACACACACACACACACACACATACATCTTCTCCTGCTGCGCCGCTGTCGTCAGGTTATAGGCAGAGGAGTGAGTGAGTCAAGTGAACATATTTCGTTTGCATGAATTAAAACTTATTTCCTATAATGTGTTTTAATGATGACCCAAACATTCAGGCAACAATAAAACAAAAAATTCTAATTCTCCATTCTCTTCTCTCATTTTTATTCCTTCACCTTCAGGATGGGCGGTGGGTCGCTGGACTGCTATGGCCTCAACAACGTCTCAGTGCCTGTGGGTTGGTGCCTACTGCATGGTGAGACTTGAGAGGCTACAGGTGATGTGAGGATTCACATGTGTCTCACTCCTCCTACCTACCCTCTCTCTTCTTGACTCTCTTTCCTGTGTTGTGTCTCGGTGCCTCTCCTTCCTCCCTCCTTCCTTTCCTTCCCTCCTCCTTTCCTCTCCTCTCCTCCTCTATTCTCACTCAGGTCCCTCACCCCACCGACCATTCCTCCATTTCCACCAACCTTCCTTCTCCCTCCCGCCCTCCAGCTTCCACTCTAACACCCTCCACCCACACGCCACACCAGCCTTCACACCCCCTTTATCCTTCTTCCGTGTGAACGCTACCTATGACCGCCCTGCTCCTGTGGTCCTCTAACGTCCTGCTCCTGCTTTGATTCTGTGAACGCCTGGCCTGTGAGCGCCTGGCCTCTGACGCCCAGCTGAGAGTCGGCACATTTGAACCCTCCATAAACTCTTAGTTCAGTTCAGTGTTTTTCTGGTTTTAGCGCCCAGGATGACTGCAATAAAGCCTTGGCTCCGACCCTTCACCTCCTTGATTGGTCAGAACCGTGGCAGTGTCCGTCTAAGCCGCCCACAGGTCTTGGATTGGTTGACAATGAGAAGGTTGTTCCCAGACGGGTTGTAGAGCCAATATTTATCATATCTCTAGTTTTCGATTTTGAGCGTTAATGTTGTGGCGAGGTGCGTGCTGTGAGTTTCCTCGCCGTCGGTTTATGTGAGGCGACATAACACTTTTTTGCGTCATTTTCAGATATAAATTAACGCGGTTACTGACACAACTCTGGATTAATTTGGTTTTCGCTGCTTTATTTCAGGTGATATAAAGAAGTCTTACTATCTGATATGGCTCGTAAATGCTGTATTTGCTACGTATTTTTATATATAACATAACACGGATTCTGAAATTCAATATATGTTTACAGACCTGAAATTAATGCCTTGGTATTTACGGAATGTTGATAATAAAACTTGTTGATTTATAAAAATACGTCTGTTTACATATTATAGAGAACATTTTACATTATCGATAAACAACACGGACTTAGAATGTTTAGGTTGGTAGTGATTACTAACATTGTTTATATATATATATATATATATATATATATATATATATATATATATATATATATATATATATATATATATATATATATATATATATATAAAGACACGAATACGTTCGTTTTTTTCATCTATATTCCTTTTACTAAAATGATAATTGATATTGTTTATAAATTATCGTTCGTATTGTCAAAAATTATTTACTACTAAGTTATTTGAAGCTGAGGAAGGTCTAGGTGTGTGCTGTACTTGATGAGTTGTGTTGACGATAATTCCACTAGAAGAAAGATTATAGCTCAGTACGCAGACATTAACTTGGAACTATTGTTTGAGAAACTATATTGAATCATTAGTTTAATAAGATGATCTTGTTGGTGTTGATGGTGTAGTTAGAACAGAATATCTTATGGTGATGACAGGTGACTTATGGTGATGACAGGTGACTTATGGTGATGACAGGTGACTTATGGTGATATAGGTAACTTATGGTGATGACAGGTAACTTATGGTGATGACAGTGACTTATGGTGATGACAGGTAACTTATGGTGATGACAGGTGACTCATTTGGTGATAGATGACAGGTAACTTATGGTGATGACAGGGTGACTCACGGTGATGACAGGTGACTTATGGTGATGACAGGTGACTTATGGTGATGACAGGTGACCTTTTAACAACAGGTGGCACAGGGCGGCGATGTACAGTAAACCTGCGTCATTATTGACTCCTTGAACATCATTGATTCTTTTTAACCCAAATCAGCGGAACTTCTGCACGGCTTTTACTACTCTGCATATGTTTCCTGCTTGCTGCTCCTCTCCCTCCCCCACAGCAGTCTTGAAAGATCGTAAAATTTCTCTGTAAATGGTGATAATAAGACCGTATCTGACTCCTTAACAACGATACAAAAAGATGAATTAAAAATTCGTAATTTAAAATAAAATCGTAAGTTTATCTATGAGACTTTATCTAAAATCGTTCACTGAAGTTGACCACAAAAGATGAATTTAAAATTAAACTCTCTTAACATTAATATTATTGTAATGTATCTAACTAATTCGCTCAAGAGGGTAATAAAAAAATCATAAATTAATATAATATAATGACAGAAGTGAGCAATAAATTAACATATATTTAACATAAATCATCAAATTAACTGGAAAAGCCAAAACGACTGGAATTGACGCATGTCTGGAATGGAAGTGACTGGAATAACTTTGAATGACTGGAATAGAGACTGGGATGATCTTAATACCTTGAATCAACAGTAAACCAGGAAAGGATCAAGCAACTGGAATCATTATCCCAATAGTTTATTGAACACTGGAATGAGAACGATCCTGGAATGTCCTTACGTCTGAAACACGAATGGTATTAATTGTTCAAGTCTTCACAATCACTCTGCTGGAACATTCAGAATGGCTGTGGAATCAATGGAAACAGGTGTGGTCAGACGGCCAGGTAACTCATAGGTAGTTATGGACGGTGTGGCTAACTAGTATGAGTAGAACGGTGTGACTAACTATGGTATGAGTGGGAGCGGTTGTGGATAGCTATGGTATGGAGTGAACGGTGTGGATGATTATAGTATGAGGTGAACGGTGTGGCTAACTATGGTATGAGGTGGAACGGTGTGTTTAGCTATAGTATGGTGAACGGTGTGGCTAATTATAGTATGAGCGAGTGGATAACTATAGTATGGTGGAAGGAGGTGGATAAGTATAGTATGTATGGTGAACGGTGTGGTAACATAGTATGGTGGTGGTGTGGATAGCATATTAGTGAACGGTGTGGCAACTATAGTATGAGTGGGACGTGTGGATAACTATGGTCGAGGTGAACGGGTGGATAACTATAGTGAGGTGAACGGTGTGGATAACTATAGTATGGAGTGAACGGTGTGGCTAACTAGTATGGAGTGATGCTGCAGGATCGGAGATAAGTTAGTTAGGATGAGTGAATGGACATGAATAAGTTGAATAATGATGATGAAGGAATGGTTACATGAACGATATTTTGAGTGAATAGACCCACAGGAGAATGAACAGCTCCAGCCTAAATCACCAGAGTCAATAAACGGCCTGGAGCAGAGTTACACTGTTGACTGAACGGCTAAGATGAACAGTCAAGATAAACGTCCAGGATGAACAAGTGGTAATCTTATCTGGGACAATCAGTAGTCGTGTCCGGATGAGTGAACGGCAAAGTATAAGAGTGAACATCGTGACTCACCTGTTCTGAGAAAATATTAGTAGATTCTTATGGTGTAGTAGCTCTGTCAAGATATTGGCGGTAATATTATATAAATATGGGCTAATCATTTTTTTAAATAATGTTTAATTTTACTACCGAGTTAACTAGAAACAGCAATAAACCTTCTATTGTGTGTTAGGTTACCTCCCTTGTCCTCCACGCTTGAGTCTGCAAGAGTCAGCATCAGTGTCTGGCCTGAGTGGACAACCTCTGTAACTCACAACAGGCGTGTTAGAGGGTTCTGTGAAATTAATTTCATATCTTAAGTATATAGACAGTTTATTGTGTGGCTAGTTAGTAATTGATAACCATAGAGTGTGTTATATTTGGTTAATAAATGGAAAAGTCAAAAAATTGTTTGTGAGGCATTAAATATTCTTAAACAAATATGATAACTACAGGGGTTATAAAGGTACCAGTTGGGAACACTAACTGGTACAAGTGTTTTGTAGATGGGATTGCCTGATGCTGACCGGCCCAGCTCATATGACCAGCAGGTGAGATATGAAACTGCTAGATCATAGATGACAAGTGGGATGTAGCTGTTCAAAAACTAATAATAAGGTGTAGCGGTGGGGATCGGACATATAACTCGATCATAAGATGAAAGAGGTGGGATAGCCCAGAGTCCTAACTTCGTCATGGGTGAGACGCAAGGTTTGTCTCATGAGACATTCTAATTGTCTCCAAGAGGTAAATTAGTTAGTTTTACGCAAAAGCTAATTTATATTTTTGTTTTATTAATCCGTTTGTTCCTCACTCATCAGTCAACTGCTCTTATTCACGACTGACAATCACTTATATACGTTGGGGAAATGTGATGACGTCACTTCATTAGCTAATCACCAAAACGACTCTCAGATTTTTCGACCAATCACGAAGTTTGTTGTCATATTTTTGTTTCTATATAATGGGCGAGTTATGGTTTCTCAGTGCTTTTACTTTCTCTTGGCCTTAGATGTTCTTCACTATCTGCTAAGCCGTCTTCAGCACAACTGAGTCTGCACAAACTTTAAGCTCAGTGACATGAAAATATTTACATCGTTTCCTCTTCCTATTCATTCTCTTAGCTGATGTAATGCTGTTGGTCGGTTGGTCTCTAGATCAGCAGTTAGATGTGAAGATGGAGATGTTCACCTCTTATAAGCCACTGTCAATGTTACTGTCTCCTCCTGTTATCTCTCTCTCACTGTTTATCTTTCTCTTTCTCCTGGTATTTCCAGGTGCATCTCTCTCCTCTCTCTCTCTCCTCTCTCTCTCTCTCTCTCTCTCTCCTCTCTCTACTCTCTCTCTCTCTCTCTTAGTTGTCGCACCACCAGCTTGTGTGTATATACTGCCAGCATAGAGCTCCTTTGAATTATAACAACTGGTACTTGTGTCTTTAGCGACTGTGGAGTTATTATGATTATTGGCTGATATCTCTCTCTCTCTCTCTTTCTCTCTCACCTAGTTGTCCTAGTGATACAGATTCTGGTATAACTCTCTGAACTCTTGTTTTGGTTGTGGTGTTGGGTGTGTGTTGGTGACATGTGTTGGGGTATTGCTGTTGACGTGTTTGGAGGTAGTGTTGTGGCGTGTGTTGGAGGGTCGTGCTGGTGAGTTTGTTGGGGGTCGTGCTGGTGATGATGTTTGTTTTAGTGTAAATTCGTGTTTTGAATGAACTCTAGAAC